AGGAATGAGTGGTCGTGGATTCTCCGGAGCCTTTTAGACTTAAGATCTCATTGTCGGAGATTTTTATCTATAATGTGGGAAATGGTTTATCTACGCATGCTTGGGAAGATACATGGAGCGAGTCGGGTCCTCTCATTCAATCCCTGTCTTATAGATTCATTAATGGCCAGGGATTTCACAATAACTCCACGGTTTCAGATGTAATGCAACGATTTGGTACTAATTGGCCGGTGGATTGGATTCAACAATATCCTCAGCTGCAGAGTGTTCTGATTCCGTTTCCCAGTCAAGTGGAGGATAAGGTCAGATGGCTTGATAATAAACTTTCTCGGGGCGATTTTGAGGTAAAATTGGCTTGGAAAACTATCCAAGAGGTGAAGCCGGTTGTGCACTGCTATAAACTAGTTTGGAATAAAGCATACGTTCCTAAACATGCTCTTTGCATGTGGATGGCTTGTCAGAAGAAACTGCCAACTCAAGATCGTATAAGTCAGTGGAAGCACGAACCGCCGGATTTAAAGTGTGTGTTTTGCAACTTAGTGATTGAAACGCACAATCACTTATTTTTCGAATGCAATTACTCAAACAGTATTTGGGAAGTTATTAAAATGGAGGTGGGATTAACGAACTGTCCAAACAATTGGGAGGATATTCTTCACAGAGGGTCCACTCAAACTCGGAAATCTTGGTCTACGGTTCAAAAACTTGGTATATCGGCAATGGTATATAATATCTGGAGGGAACGGAACAGGAAGTTCTTTGACAATCTCAATCATTCGGGGGATAAAGTTATTGCGGAAATCAAGATGCAGATTCTTCATCGGATGGCTTGGAAGACAAGGAAGAAGCTAATGAATTCCAATGTTATGTGATTACATGGGTGGTGTGCCTTCTCGGTTTTGGATCTTATGGGTTTTTCTTGCCTTTTGCTTTTTGGCTTATGGTTTTCTTATGTTTTGGTGTAATTCCCTTTGTCATTTTTGGCTCCTTATGACTTGGTTTGTGAGTCAAAGTTGCCGTAGTTTTTCTTGTTGATTGCTTTGTATCGGTGACGCTTTTACTGTCTTTATAAAATTGCCTGGGGAAACTCTTCCCCTTTCAGTATTTTAATCTAACCATTTTTTCCAAAATGACACTAAATGGATCGTATAATTAATCCAATCGGACCCGAATTGGTTTAATAGGCCCATTTCTTTATAAGAAGTCTAATTGGGTCAAAATGACAATAATTGGTTTAGTTCGATCAGGCCTTAGTGGGTATAATCGGCTTCTTTCTCCAATTTGAGTCTAACTGAGTTATAATGGTACTGAATCGGTCACAATTAGTCTAATGAGAAGTGAATGAGAGTAAGTGAGGTAGAATGGGTTTTTTTGCTCTTTACTGGGTCCATTTCGTGTTAGAGGATATAATAGGCTATTTCTCCTTAGGACGTCCAATTGGGTCGAAATGACACTAACTAGGTCATGATCAGTCTCATTAAACCCTAATGGGCATAATGGGGCCCTTTCTCCTTGACGAGTCTCGTTGGGTCAAAATGATACTATATGAGTCGTAGTTAGTATACTGAAAGGGAAGGAAAACTCCCCGGGCAATTTTATAAAGTAAGAAAAAGCAAGCAACAAAAGTACAGATTAGTAGGAAAAACTATGGCAACTCTGACTCACAAACCAAGCCATAAGAAGCCAAAATAAACAATGGGAAATGCACCAAAGAAGAAATGTAAAACAAGCCAAAGAATAGAAAGGGCAAATCACCAAAAACTCCCAGAATCGAAACTCTTCACCAACCACATGATCAAGCATCAGTGATTCTCGTAACCTTCTTCCTTGTCTTCCGTGCCATTCTTTGAAGAACCTGTGTCTTGATATCAGCCGCTACTTGAGCTCTAGTACGGTTATGATTGTCAAAAAACTTTCTATTCCTTTCCATCCATATGTGGTACACCATAGCCGAGATACCAAGTTTTTGAACCGTAGACCACAATTTCCACCCTTGCAATATCCCCATATTAAGGATATCCTTCCAATTGTCCGGACACATCTAGATCCCTATTTCCCTTTTTATTACCGCCCAAATACTACTCGAATAATTGCACTCAAAGAATAAGTGCTTGTGCATTTCAATCACCAAGTTGCAAAAAAAACATTTCAGATCAGGAAGTTCATGCTTCCACTGGCAAATGCGGTCTTGGGTCGGTAACCTTTTCTGACATGCCATCCACATACAGAGAGCATGTTTAGGTATGTATGCTTTATTCCAAACCACCTTGTGCCAATGCACAACCGTTCCCACTGGGGAAAATGTTGTATCCATTCATCCGGCCACTCATTACCAAATCGTTGTATGAGGTCATAAACCGTAGAGTTATTATGAAACTCATGGCCATTTATGAACCTATACGAAATCAAATGGATTAAGGGACCCTGTTCACTCCAAGTGTATTCCCAAGCATGCGTAGACATCCCATTACCCACAATCGAAATGAAAAATGTCCTACAATGAGGTCTTAACTCTAAAAGGTTCCGTATAAGCCAAGACCATTCATTTCTCTTTTTTATCACCCAAAAATTTCTTCCCCGAATACAGTTTGAATGAATCCAAGAAACCCACATGGATCTTCTTCTAGTAAGAATATCCCAAATATGTTTAAACAGTAAGCACCTATTCCAAAGCGCCAGCCTTTTCATACCGATTTTTAACAGGCAAGCGTTTCCCAAGATACTCGGCATTTTCCCAAGACCCCTTCCGCTTTATTCCATAAGAAATTGAGGCAAATTTGTTCAATTTCGTGGATTGTAGCCGCCGGGATTAGAAAAACAGACATCCAATAAGTTTGCATAGATTGAAGGACAGAGATGATGAGTTGTCTTCTACCACCATAGGATAGAAATTTGTTTTTTCAATTCATCAATCGCGTTTTAAGTTTAACCACTAGACGTTAATGTGACTAATTGAGGTCGAATGGTCCTTACGGGTCCTTAATGGGTCCATTTGGTCCTAGTAGGTAGAATGCGCGCATTTCTTTTCATCGAGTCATTTTTGTCAAAATGACACTAAATGGATCACAATTAATCTCGTTGGACCCTGATTGGTTTAATATGCCCATTTCTTTATAAGGAGTCTACTGAAAGGGGAAGGGATTCCCCAGGCAATTTTATAAAGACAATAAAAGCGACACCAATACAAAAGCAATCAGCAAGAGAAACTACGGCAACTTTGACTCACAAACCAAGTCATAAGCAGCCAAAAATGACAAAGGGAAATACAC